CTTTTATAGCTCTTTCTGTGTATTTCAGGAGATTCCTTAAATTGGTTTTCTATTTCTTAGATTCTAGATTTGGTTTCTGGCATATTATTCTGCTACTTAAGGCCTCTACTGGGATGTTGTTTTGTTTTGGCACTCATGATTTTATTTTAAAATTCTTTTTGTTCTCTCATTGTTCCTTTTCATTTATGCAACACCCTCCAAAATGTCCTCCTGTCTTTTGAGATTTAAATAAAATGTCCAACTCTCAGTCACATTCCTGATGAGAAATTTGATGCCTACTCTAACTTTTCTTTTAACTCTGAGACAGATTGTACTTGGTTCTCTCTTGGTCCAATTTTCTTTGCCTCAGATCCCTTGATTGCACCCCTTCTCTTTTTTTTTTTTTTTGAGTTGGAGTCTCACTCTGTCGCCCAGACTGGAGTGCAGTGGCAGCTCCTGGCCACCGCAGCCTCGACCTGTTGGGCTCCGGCAATCCTTCTGCCTCAGCCTTCCAAGTAGCTGGAACTACAGACGCGCGCTACCACGCCTGGCTAATTTTTTGATTTATTGTAGAGATGAGGTCTCGCCAAGTTGCCCAGGCGGGCACCCCTTCTTGTAGCCCATCCTGGCCTGGCAACATACCTCTTTCCTTTGTGTTCCCCAGATGGTTTTCATACCATTCACTTTGTGTGGGCACACTGTGCTGAAGATCTGAGGTGCCCTCCGGAGAGCATTTACCTGTTCTTAAAAGTCTTCCATTCGCCACATCACCAGGGATCTATCACCCACCACCTTTCTCAACAGGGCTCCTCTCCTGCCCTGTGGAGAGGCACCTTGGTCCTTTTTTATCTCCCTGTTTGCTCTCAGTCAGAACTCCCTTACCCAAATTCTCTGTTTCTCTCTTGATACTTACTTTAAAAAGGTGTTGCCACACCCATCCCTTCCTTAAGAGAATTTAGGTTCCTGCTTTTAAAACGACAATTTGTATGCGTGGATATGCTATTTAAAAACTATTAAAAAAAATTCTTCCTTGTTTTCTCTACTAAATCCATCTTGAAAGGAGATATCTTTGCCCTGGTTTTTCAGCTTTTTATTATTTTGGTAGCTAATTTTCTTCATATGTCTAATGTTTCCCAAATAAGAGAAAATAGATGGCTCTTGTTTCTAAACAGAGGTCTACCTTTCTCAGTATTGGCAACTGATATGGGTTCCCTCAGCAATTGTGCATGCCAGGGTTCAGTTCTTTCTGGTTGTTTCCTGATTTTTTTTCTAAGTGATTCTTATGCAGAACTTATTGAACATGTTTTAAATATGCAATTATGAACTCTAGACTCTTCTGACTATTGCTCCTCTCTCAAATACTTATATCGTCCTTAGCCAGGAATAAATAACAGAATCACCACTATTTGTTCTCTTTTGTTTACCTGACTTGGATTTGTGTTTGTGATACATTTAGTCCTCATTCTTTAACCGCCTATATAAATTATTATTAGGCCACAGGGTAAAACTGTAGAAGAGACTTGAGCCCTGAAAAGCTACAGCTATGGTAAGAACTTAACAAATGTGTTGGGTCTAAGTTGGCTGTTGCTCCAGTAAAGGGCAATTGACCATCTTCATATCCTGACCCCTGGGGAAGGGGGAAGCTGCCCTGCAAGGCCGATAAACATATTCTCCCTTACACAAACAATAGGCCTAAAACTGCACAGATGCAAAAACAATGACTGAAGAACAGGAGTGGCTCCATCTCCAGGGGTCCCACCTCCCCCATATCTTCCTCCTAAACAACCTTTATAAAGGCTCTCTGCCCAGGGAGTAGTAGCTGATGGTTATCGGGCTTGCTTTGTAGATAGCACCTATTGTAAACCTAAGAATGGTATCTGAGATATTTTTCAGACTGTGTACTCTGATGGACCTGATGTTCCACCTGGGTCCAGAACACAGAAAGCTCACTCCACCAGTCCTGTGACACCCTCTTCCAGAAAGTGACTCTCTGACAGGAAGACACCCCCCGTGATACCATCAACCAATCAGCAGCCCCTATCACCCTGCCCACCAAATTACCTTAAAAACCCTAACATCTAAATTTTCAGGGAGGTGGATTTGAGTAATATCTCCCATCCTCTCTGCTCAGCTACTTTGCAATATCTCCATTGTAATGGCTGCATCAGTTCTGGTTGGGCTGTAACAACACCATACCTTTGGGTACCACTTCACTTAGGCTGTCCATATGTTTGTATTTGGGCTGATAAGCCAAACACAAAAATTCATAGTTACCCAGTATGCAATTTGTTAATGTCCAGTAACTAATTGCACACTAAATAACTCCACAAAAATGCCTACTGCGAAAAGCCTGTGATATTGTAACAAAAACTCTTTTTTTTTTTTGAGTTGGAGTCTCACTCTGTTGCCCAGATTGGAGTGCAGTGGTACGCTCTCGGCCACCGCAGCCTCAACCTGCTGAGCTTCGGCGATCCTTCTGCCTCAGCCTTCCAAGTTGCTGGAACTATAGGCGCGTACTACCACACCTGGCTAATTTTTTGATTTTTTGTAGAGATGAGGTCTTGCCAAGTTGCCCGTGTGGGTCTCGAACCCGCGGGCTCAGGCAGTCCACTCACCTCGCCCTCCCAAAGTGCTGAGATTACAGGTTGAACCACCGAGCCCGGCCAACAAGAACTCTTTTACATTTGCTGCTGGGAGTGTGAATTGGTATAGCCTCTTTGAAAAACTGGTTAACAGTACTGATCAAAGCTAAGCGTACATATACCATTAATCCAGAAATTCCACCCTGGATGTACTCCCTACAACAATGAGTGCTTATGGCCACCAAAAGTTATGTACAAGAATGTTCATGATATATTTAATCATAATATCTAAAAGCAAAAGGCCACTCCAAATATCTAACAATAGTGGAAGAAGTAAATGTAGCATATTTACAAAACGGAATACTGTAAAGTGATGAAAAGGAACCACTGCTATGCATAATAATAAAGATAAATCCCACAGTCTAAATGTTGGGAGAAAGAGGCCAAATACAAAAGAGTATCTATTCCATTTATATAAAATTCAAGGCCAGGCTTGGTGGCTCAGCCTGTAATCCCATCATTTTGGGAGGCCAAGGGGAGTGAATTGCCTGAGCCCGAGGGTTGGAGACCAGCCTGGACAACTAGGCAAGACCTTTTCTCTACCATAAAATACAAAATAGCCAGGTGTGGTAGTGCGCGTCTATAGTTCCAGCTACTAGGAAGGCTGAGGTGGAAGAATCGCCGGAGCCCAGTAGCTCGACAGTGGGGTGGCTGTGAGTGTGTGTGTCACTGCACTCCAGCCTGGGCCAAGGAGTGAGACTCCGCCTCAAAAAAAAAAAAAAAAAAATTCAAGAGGAGGCATAACAGACACATATGACAGAGTTAGAATAGTTATAGCTTGAATGGATACTGACTAGGAGGGAGTTTGCTGGAGTCCTAGAGGTGTTCTATATCTTTATGTGAGAGGTAGTTACATGAATATAAAGAATCATAGAGGTATACATTCAAGATTAATGTACACTACTATGTGTAAGTTATATCTCACTTTAAATATATCGTATGATGTCTTCTAGAACTAGGAAGGATAAACTTGAGAGACTTCGATTTGGAGAGAAAAATAATATTTTTGGGATCAGGTTCTTTCTAGAAGAATTGCCTTAAACAGAAGTCCTTTCTTCCTTTATCCTACTACAGATATTTCTCTAGAATAGGTGTGGTTCTCTTGCCCTTTATTAAAGATATGCTATCAAGTTGTTTCTTACATACCATTTTAAGCATTGTGGTAAATACAAGTTCAAAGTCATATTCCCAGTACTCTAGAAATTTGAAATCTAGAGAGACAAAACTAACATATATAAAATATTTAAAGAACTTAGTGCTAATGTCTTTTTTTTTTTTTAGGGCGAACTTTAAAGCACAGAATTCTCCAGGGATTCAGGGGAAAGAGAACTCAGTGAGAAATGCAGTAATTAATTTTAATGTAGGAGGAAGGACTTAAGGTGAGTTTTTAAAAATAGATAGATAGGGCCCGGCTCGGTGGCTCAGCCTGTAATCCCAGGACTTTGGGAGGCTGAGATGAGTGGATTGCCTAAGCCCGCGGGTTCGAGACCAGCCTGGGCAACTTGGCGAGACCTCATCTCTACAATATATCAAAAATTAGCTAGGTATGGTAGTGCGCCTGTAGTTCCTGCTACTTGGAAGGCTGAGGTAGAAGGATTGCTGGAGCCCAGCAGGTCAAGGCTGGGGTGGCTGTGAGCATGCTACTGCACTCCAGCCTGGGCAACAGGGTGAGACTCTAACTCAAAAAACAATAGGCAAAATGCCAGTTAGTCCTTCATTCTATTGCATTTGTTTAAATAACCACGATGACCCACTTGCTAGAGTTGAAATAATGACCAAGCAAAAGACAAGATGTAAAATGGAGGGACCAGCCAGGAGGAAGTAAACTCAGAGGAATGCAATGTACTCTGGAAATTCAGATTTGAATTCTGAAGTGCCACTAGTATGAGCCCTTAGGACTGAGAGGACAGAAGCGCAGTCAGAAACATGTAGGGATCAGGAAAGAATGAAGGCCAGAACTAAACTGTACACCCCAGTGGGAAAGGCTGTACAGAGCTTCTTTCTTTTGTAATAAAGTAATTATTATTATTGCATAAAGAAAACCAAAGTATGTGTTTGTGACAGGCTGACTCATACACAATAAGGGGGTGATATATTAAGTCCTCCTTAATGTTTTCTCCTCTTACACCACGCTCATGTGTCTGCAAAAAAGAACTCTACATAAATGTCTACTGTAAAAAGCCTGTGATATTGTAACAGGAACTCTTTTACATTTGCTGCTAGGAGTGTAAATTGGTACAACCTCTTTGCACATACAGTGCCTACTCCAGTGCTGGCAGGGAATTCAGAGTTTATCTGAAGTGCACCATTCACTTGCTAGGCTCATGGGTGGAGCTGGGAGGGTAATAGAAAGGTTGCCAGATATATGAAGACAACTGTAATTCATATCAGTTGGCTGAGCACTCATGTCACTAGAAGTCTGACTCTCCTGCTATGCTCTTGCCTGCTGTGCTCTTTTGAAAAGGTTTTCTGACTACAACAAAATCTGATGAAATTTGTTACCAAGCAAATTGAATTGTTCAGGTCGCAGCCATTTTAGACGTTCTAACCATCATTTGAAAAAAGATTTCAACCTACTCCATTTCAATTCTCTCTAAGGAGCTGCTCCTGTGCTGTTTGGCTCCTGCCCACCTGAGATGGAACAAAGGTATGGTTTACACTATTTTTCTAATAAATTCAGGTTCTATATTTTTGGTGGTTGTCTTCACTTCCTCTGTAACTAGGTACAAGAAGTGAGAACTCTTAGGGGATAGGGTGGGGTTCATGATGTTAAAACAATTTTTGAATATATAGTATTTACCACCTTATGAACATCTGATTTACCCAGTTATTTGAATATAGAAATTGCTCTATATAACTGGGTAAATAAGATGTTCATAAATTGAAAGGCAGGGAACTGGGAACAAATAAGTTTATTACTGAATCTGGAATTCAGGGATATAAACCAGTATAGATATCAAGACCAGCTCAGCCCCTCAGATTTTACAGTCTGTATTTATAAGCACAAGCATTGAGGTTTGCTATTGATTAATATGAAACTACATGACTTACAAAGCATTCGGTAAGATTTCAATTACAATTGCATTTCATCAATTATAACATTCATTGTCTGCATATTTTTGGTACCTGTCACCAGGAACCTATAATTTTCATTTATAAGGAACTCTAAACAAAGGAGTCAGTGGAGCTTACTACAAAGTAAAACATTACTCATTGTGATACATCATTAGCCAGTGGGTGCAACAAAACAAGAGTGTACCAGTTATGGTTACAAGATTAATATAATTGCATTTCTAACTTCAACTATTTTTTTTTTTTTTTTTTTGAGTTGGAGTCTCACTCTGTTACCCAGGCTGGGGTGCAGTGGCACGCTCACAGCCACCCCAGCGTCGACCTGCTGGACTCTGATAATCCTTCCGCCTCAGCCTTCCAAGTAACTGGAACAACAGGCACATGCTACCATGCCTGGCTAATTTTTTTGATTTATTGTAGAGACGAGGTCTTGCCAAGTTGCCTGGGCTGGTCTCGAATCCGCCGGCTCAGGCAATCCACTTGCCTTATCCTCCCAGAGTGCCGGATACAGGCTGAGCCACCGAGCCCAGCCTAACTTTAGCTATTAATCATAGAAATGAATAACAATTGTATTACTAATTATGTGAATACAACCATGGCATCAGCGAATCATTCTGTTTCAGGGAGGGTCAGCACAGTCTTATAATTCTAAGGTACGCCCTAACTTTAACTATTAATTATAGAAATGAATAACAGTTGTATTACTAATTATGTGAATACAACCATGGCATCAGCGAATCATTCTGTTCCAGGGAGGGTCAGCACAGTCTTATAATTCTAAGGAACGCAGTTTCTTGGAGTACAGCAACCCTAAGTAATCAAACATTATAACAATCATTAATTAGTAGTAGTGGGTCTCTTCAAAATTTCCCCATTGTCAGCTAAAGCCACGATATCTGTCATGGAGTTATTTATGTTTTTCTGCTTTAACCTGAACATATGCATATCTTCTTCCCTCTGATGATTTTTGTGAGTTAGAGACTTGAGTATAAGCTTAAGAATCCTGGCAGTGCATGCCATACATAGTTTGAAGGAGACATATATTAAGACTTCTGTTATTAACATAGTTAGGAGGAACTTTATTATTCCTGAAAGAATATGTTTAAGACCTGATGGGATTTAAAAGAAAATGTTTGAGAACCAATCTGAAACCTTCCCAAGCACCTCCTTTGTTATTGTTGTTATGTGACCTGATTCATCTGGTATTCATTGTGTTTAATGGTGCAAGTGTCTCCTTAGGGTGTGGTGAGAACATCTTCATTCTGTTTTGTAGGGCTGCTTTCCTCATTAATGAAACTTCTTTGTTTAGTATCATCAAACTATTTCTGCTTTCAGAATACAAGTTTTTAGTTCTTTTCTAAATGACTGTTATAATATAACCAGAATGGTCTCTTTCCATCAGTTCCTTCCCTTGTGTGGCTTACAGTTTTCTGGAGTATACAGATATTAATCAATCTCATAATTAAAAATGAAATTACAAGTTTGATAAGTCATGTGAAAGAAAAGGACATGGTGCTATGAGTCTGTGTCAAGTAAGGTTTGACCTTATCTGACAAGTCAGGGAAGATTTCCCAGCGGAAATGATGATTGAACTGAGACCTAAATGATAAAGAGAGTTAAATTTATGAAGAAGGGATAAAAGAAGAATATTCTGGGCTTAGCCCTATAATTTGAGGCAATAAAAGAAGACCAGTTGTCATTAGGAGGAAGAATGTAGTACAAAATAAGCTGGAGGAAATGATTAGGGATCATTGTGTATGCATCACTCCCTGACCATGTTAGGAATTTTGTTTTGTCTCCTAGGAACAGTGAAAGGAGGCTGATGTGTTTGCAGAAAGTGGGAGGAAGGTTGATAGGGTCGAATTGTTTTAAATTTTCATTTTAAATATGTTATTCTGGCCACAGTGGACAGAACAGATTAGAGAAAGAGTAGCGCAGGATAACCAGCTAGGGGGCTATAGCGGTGGTCCAGAAGGGCCATGGGGAGGGGGAAGGGGGGAGGGGAGCGGCTTAGATTAGAGTAGCAGAGGAGGATAGTTGTGAAAGAGACTTAAGATTAAGATTTATGGATTTGAGTTGAATATGGGGTAGGGAGAGAAAGGGAGCTGTCAAAGACAATAGGGTGTCATTGTAGACATTTGAAGGTTGGGGGTGGATGAAATGTACTGAGTTGAATTTTGGAGATGCCAAGTCACCATGGACATTCTATGGATGAATTTAATTTAAGTCTCATGCTCTACCGACTGAGCTAGCTGGGTGCTTCCATGGATGAATTTAAGACATCCAAATAGATATGTACAAAAAGGCAACAGCTATATGAATGTAGAGATGTGACTCAAGATGTACTCATATATGTGAATGAGGGCCATTTGTGTTCAGGAGATAAATGAAGCCAAGATTATGGATGAGATCTCTTAGGGAAAACAGTTCAAATGAAGAGAGTGCAGTGCTGAGCCTTGAGGAGCTACACAATTTAATGACCAGGTAGAGGAAAGATGTGCCTACAGAGGAAACAAACAAACAAACAAACAAAAAACCCCAGAAATGTAGAGAGAAGACTAGTAAGCTGTTAGGTGTGCAGAAGCAACAACCACAAAAACTATGTCTGGTTATAAAGGACAGGAGAAAGAGATCTAGCTAGAGGATATGTGGAGCTAAAATGTATTTTAAAAAATATGATTTAGATAGTTTAAAAGTCAATTTAATGCTAAGATTCCATTTATATACCTTCTTGAAATTAACATATTAAAAGGATAAGTAGCAAATTAATGGTTACCAGAGGATAGCAAAGGTGGAGGTGTGACTCTCAAGGTTGGTCCTTGGAGTTGCACTGAGGAAGTTTCTTGGTGATAATGGAAGAGTTATACATCTTGAGTGTAGAGATGGCTACACAAATCAGTACATGGAATAAAATTTCATAAACTGTACACACACAAATAGATGCATATACAAACTGGTGACATCAGAATAAAGTCTGTGCTCTAGTTAACAGTATTGTACCAATGTTAATTTCCTGGTTTTGATATTATAATACAGCAATGCAGTTAGATAAGATATCACTATTAGGGGAAGCTAGTTGAAGGGTACATGGAACTTTGGGCTGAGGGCTGAGGCAGGAGACATGATGGAGATTGGAAGGTGAACCTCAACAGATAAGAAGCCATGGGAAAAGGAGAGAAGCCATAAGCCAGCAACATTAATCAGCTTCCAAGGACAGGACATAAGCAACATTCTTTTCTGAAACTGATATGTTAATCAACCTCCCAGGATAACATAAGCGATAAGATAAGATAAGAAGGCCAAAAACTTACACCTCCGGTGTGGCACACGTGCAAAAGGAACATCCTTGAATCCCCTGTAACTATCCATGCAAAAGAGCTAGTTAAGGCTAATGCGCATGGACTGCATCTCATATATACAATTAAAACTATGGGATGGGCCGGGCGTGGTGGCTCAGCCCGCAATCCCAGCACTTTGGGAGTCTGAGGTGAGTGGATTGACTGAGCCCGCCGGTTCGAGACCAGCCTGGGCAACTTGGTGAGACCTCGTCTCTATAATACATCAAAAATTAGCTGGGCATGGTAGCATGCACCTGTAGTTCCGGTTACTTGGAAGGCTGAGGTAGAAGGTTCGCCAGAGCCCAGCAGGTCAACGCTGGGATGGCTGTGAGCGTGCCACTGCCCTCCAGCCTGGGCAACAGAGTGAGACTCCAACTCAAAAAAAAAATTATGGGATGGCAGGCAGAGACAGGCACAATAACCTAAAATGTTACCCCTGTCCCAGAAAGTATATGAAACCCCAGAAACCTTTGTCAAAATGTTATTTTTTTGTATGCTTTGCAAAATAGAGGTCATTTTCCCACCAAAAAGAATATAAAAGGCCCTGGCTTTGTTTAACTCGCTGCTCTTGAGCTGTTCACATCTTGGTCCTCTCCTCTCTATGGAATATACTGTATCTCTCACTTTTTCTAAATAAATGACTCTTTGCTTTTACTCTCCCTGTGTGTCTCATTCAATTTTTTGTTTGCGGCATCAACAACCTGGTCACCACCATCAGATCTTTGATCACCTGCAACAGGACTATTTTTGCAAATTTTTGTGAGTCTATAATTATTTGCAAATAAACTGTTTTAAAAAGTCAATGAGAGAAAGAGAATAAGAAATAGAAATTTCACAATGAAAAAGATACTCTGGAGTAATGTGTTTTTCTTCTTAAATATATTCTGTATTTCAATATAGTCTAATTATTACTGTCATCATTATCACTAATGCATAGTGTACAAGAAGCACCTGTCTTATAAAATTGTAACTCAGAACCCCTACAACTTGTTACTGAAAGACACTCTACAGAGACAGTTTGGCTGACTTAAAAAGTCAAATGTTTTGCAGACAGATGTCCTTGGTTATAGCTGTTTATAGCTTGATTATAGTTGATTTTAGCTGGTCACAGTGATGGGCTGCTCCCTCCTGAGAGGTCTAGCTTTACTTACAATTATACATCAGAATAAGCAAAGAGTGTATATACTTTAAAAAGATATATGTAAAATTCCAGTCTCTTCACTATATTTATTGTGCA